TGAACTAATAAGAAAAGCAGGAGAAAATGAACATGACATCTGTTCACTTTTTATCATGCAGTAGTATGCTACTGGAAGGCTCTCCAGAAATCCAATGTCCTCAAGTGAACATTTTTAACAGTGGTCACCATTTTAAAGAATTCTAGAATAAACGGATTTGCAGTGACTGCCCCAAAGTGACCTGCTTCATCTGAATTTGCTTGCTTAAAATAGTGCCTCTCATTAACTCTGGACAAACAGGCTGAGTCACTTGCCAGACAACATACTGAGCTCTTCCTGACAGTATGACGATGCATCAGATTGGAAAATAAAACCCTGTGCCGTGGGAAGAGTATGACTTTCAAACCGCCACTCCCCCTTATGCCACATATTGCACCAAAACACTACTGTTGCTAAGGCATGTTATCCAAGTTTATTACCAACAGCCACACACACACACAGGCCTCCTAATCAGAGTGGATCATAAGAAGGAAGGCATTTTCTTTTTTCTTTTACCCCTTGAATAGGCAGTCCTCAGCTTTTCATTCACTGTCAAACCTCAAGTTCTGCAGTTGAAAAGGAGGGCAGTGCCTTTCTTGAGCTTAACTCTATACCAGGTGCTACCTGAGATGACTGTTTCCCTAACCCCCAACACCACACCAATAATATCACTGGAGGAAGAAGATGCTGTTCATGTGCCCTGGCCCACAGAGGTGAGATAATTCACAGCCAGATCTACCACTGGAAACCTCACAGCTGTGGGTCAGAATGCCTGCTTCCACCACTCACTCTCCAGGTAGCCTGGCCAATTCATCCTCCCACTCCATGGGTTAAGTCTTTTGTCTGTAAAATGGTCACCATAGTAGCATGGAGTTACAATGAAGATTGAAGGGATTGCATCCATTTTCTACTTGAAATTTGGCCAGACACAGGAAGCACTGGATACACATAATGGACTGATTTTAAATCCGCAGTCAACAGAAAAGGATATACATCCCAAGGAACTTGTACTGCTGCAGATGAATACCAAGTTGAGCTTTTGCCATCATACCTGTTGGCTGCAAGAGGCAGTGAGGCTATCTTATGGACTCTAAATATTCCCCTTTCTGATGAAAAGTCCCCAGAAAGGAAATTTTGACATATGACAAAGTGATTTTTAAAATTAATTAATTAATAAGTTAGAGTTACAAAGACAGAGAGAAAGACAGAGACAGATTTTCAAATGATAGGTTCACTCCTCCACATGGCACAACTACCAGGACTGGGCAGGCCACAGCCAAGAGCCAGGAGCTTCATCTGGTCTCCTATGTGAGTACCAGAGACTCAAACACTTAGGCCATCCTCTACTGCTTTCTCAGGCTATTATCAGGGAACTGAAGCAGCCGGAACACAAACTTGTGTTCGTATGGGATGCTGGTTTTGACCTGCTATGCTATAATGCTAGTTCCCAAGTAAATTACCTTTCTAACTAAAAAACTGTTGTTTTCTGGTAGGATGGCAAAAATACTCTTTTTGAAAAATAATTCACATGATAACACTTCTATCAGAATGCTGGCTTGAGTCCCAGTTGCTCAATTTCCCTTGGGAAATTTCCCTTGGGAAGGCAGCAGAAAAGGACTCAGGTCGTTAGGATCCTGCCCATCATATGGAAGACCAGGATGGCGCCCCAGGCTCCTGGTTTCAGTTTGGCCTAGGCCTTGCTGTTAAGAGCATTTGGCAAATCAACCAGTAGATGGAAGATCTCTCTGTCACTCTACCATTCAAATAAATAAATGTTTAAAAACTTACATGTACCTTTATTTCCCTACATTTTATTTAAAACAGCATATTTTTATGTCTATATTTTTATCCATCTTGCCTTACTCCCTTATTCCACAGCCTGCTGACTTTTTTCTTTCCAGGATATACTGGGGAAAATGTGTAGATCTCCTACAACACCTGCTGGATAGTCCATAATGTGGATGCACTCAACTGTGGCACCTGGGCTGCTTCCAGTATTTTGCTAGCACTTAATTCCCCATAAATAATGTAAACACAGGTGTTTTCCGACATACAGGTATAGGTAGAAGATAAAACTCCTGGCACTGAGGTGGCAGTAGTAGAATGCTAGCAAAAATTCAACAATCAACTAACTTCCCCCTTGAAAAGAGACCCTGCCAAAAAGGCCTGCTTACCCACAGGGTGAATAGTTCCTCAATGACTGATCTCAACCAATGGCCTTGATGTCACTGAGAGTGAAGAGAGAAGATGCGAACCAGTGACCTCTGTGAGCTGGCTCCAGTAACCCCACGGGGTTGATGAGACAAATCAGTACAAAAGATACGATCCAATTCCTTCCTACTGTGGATGTAACCTATCGAACTATTACCAGAAAGACATGAAAATGCTTATTTCCCAAAGGCCAAAATATGAGAACCATCCAACTACTGGATCCATTACAAACAGTGGCTCAGAATAGTTTTAATCAGCATTTTTCGGCAAGCGCGTGAGTTTGCACATATTTTCACTAAGGGCCTTCTTCCATTTTCTTTGCTGTTACTAGCTCATTGTCCATTTTACTGATTGCAGTAAGTGCTTCACACCTTTATTTACCTATTTATAATCCTATAAGTAGGATGGATTCAGGTTTCAAAGGACCTTATAAACAACTGGAAACACCGTATTAATTTAAAGAATACAAGATTATAAAGACTTTAAAATGTAAGTAAATATCTCTTCAAAAGTAAAAAGTCATGAATTAATTGTATTCTTACAGATTCAGGCCCTTTCTTCCAGGATTATTTTGGAAAAAATAATTAAAAATGTCTTATACAGAACCACTTCTTGGTTGGGGCTGCAGTTGTGGTATAGCATACCATATGGGTGCCAGTTCATACCCTGGCCATTCCACTTCGGAACTAGCTCCTTGACAACGTGCCCTGGAGAAGCAGCAGAAATGGTGCTTGGGTTCCTGTACCATGTGGGAGACCCAGGAGAAGCTCCTGGCTCCTGGTTCCTTCTTCTGGCCTGGCCTAGACCCAGTAATCGCAGTTATTTGAGGAGCAAACTAGCAGATGGAAGAGCTTGTTGTCTCTCCCTGTCAATCTCTCTCTAACTCTTTCAGAAAAGTCAGCAAACCTTTTAGGAAAGAGAGGGAAGGAGAGGTAAGACTTTCTGGTTTCGCGGTGACTCTTTGGTTCCATCGTTCCCCTCAATTCCCAGAAACCCTCCATGCACCATTATTTTTTTCTTTTAGATTTTTTTTTTTTTTGGAAAGTCAGATTTATAGGGAGAAAGAGAGACAGAGAGAAGGATCTTCTGTTTACTGGTTCACTTCCCAAGAGGCTGCAATGGCCAGAGCTGAGCCAATCCAAAGCCAGGAGCAAGGAGCTGCTTCTGGGTCTCCCACATGGTTATAGGGTCCCAAGGCTTGGGACTGTCCTTAGCTGCTTTCCCAGGCCAAAAGCAGGGAGCTGGAAGGGAAGTGGAGAAGACAGGACACAACTGGTGCCCATATGGGATCCAGCAGATGCAAGACAAGAACCTGAGCCACTAGGCTACTGTGCCAGGCCCATGGAGCCAGGATCTAGAACATTTGCTTTAGGAGAATCTGTATCTGCCTCAAAGACAGGCATATCATCACCAGCTCTAAGGAGGGAAAATGAGGCTTAAATGAATGTATGTCAGATCAACCCTGTGTGATTCTAAAGCCTTTGTGCTTAACCAAGACACACAGTGCCTTCCCAGCAGTCCCAATACAACTGTTCACCTTTTCAAAGATAACCACATCTATCCTTGATCCAACAGGGGGAAAACATTTCATTTAAAACAAATTTCTGCATTTTCAAAACCTGAAAACTGTCTTTAAAATACAAACGAAACAAAAAGTCCCCTTAAGCTTGCCTAACTCTAGAGCATGGCTAGGTCAGCATTTCCGCTCATGACATAGCCAGGCCCTCTTGTGACAGGTGCTCTGACCTCTGGAGAGGGACTATGGATCAAGAAGGTGACTCAGAGCTCATTCTTTGTTTCGGGAGGTTTGTTTTCTGCTGAGCTCATGCATTTCTGTAAATAACCCTAGATCCTCAGATTTGTCTAGAAATATGACGGACAGCCAAGACTGGGATCAACCTGAGTCTAATAAGCAGGCATGGTAAAATTCTATGTCCACACAGGAAAATAGGCTTTTTCTACCCTCAACTTAAAAAGCAGCATCCTGGGCTGATTGAAAGTTGCACAGCAAGCTTCAGTGTTTTACAGCAGAGCCCCCGTGAGTGACTTTTAACAAAGAAGGTGTATGATGTGCTGCTGATAACCCTTAGTGCCCGGAAGCCAGAAGGCTGAATAGCCTGCAGTGGCAGGGCCAGAGAACACAGAGAGAGGGCTGTACAGCCAAAAATGACAAACGTATTCCCCATGAGGAACAAGCTTAGTTGGGTGGCCCCTTTGTGGACACGTGGCAAAATGAGGGCTAACAGGGCTGTGGTTGTATTTCCTCCAGGGCTTTTAGGATCTCACCAGGGCCAAGGGAGGTGCTAAGTCCACAATGTAGCTGTCTGAGGTCCTCCACCAAACAGCTGTCCACACCAGCCCTGCTGGATCAGACTTCATAGCTAAGTACAATTTTTACAGTTCAAAGATACTAAGGGTTTGTTTGATTTCTGTGTGCAACATTTCCAGCTTTCAAACTCATCAAAAATACTTTTTCAGAAATATCTTCTTGCAGTTAGTATTCTGAGGATCACCACTACTCAGCCTGGAAGGTCAAAAATGTCACAAAATTGAAAGTAAAACTGTTCACCACAATGCTCTGTACTAAAATAGCATTATTTATACAAAAATCTAAGGGACATTGATCAGATCACTAGGAAATTCTGCTATGCTCTGCACTCACGCATTCTTTAAAATCATGTGCTACAAAACAGGGCAGCCCAGACACTTAAAAGAGATTACATGCATTTATTCATAAGAATGATTCTATGTTGCTTGAAACCATACGCTCTTGTAAACAAGCAAAGGATTTTCATCTTTATCAGCTTTACCTGCTATTTGTACCGAGCCATCTTCACCCAGAAGGATATTGCCAGCTTTCAAATCTCTGTTAGAAAAATAATGGGAAACTGAGTTGCGGCATTATATTGGACTGATATACTTGGGAAGACTTTCAAACACAAAATGCCACTGTTAGACATAATCATGATTTCATAAATAGTTAACTCTTTATTTCATAAATAAGGGATAACTGTTAAACACACTAGATTTCTGAAGTAGTATTTTTTCCAATTATTGAGAAACACAGTGGGTGGGGGGCAGTGTTAGGATGCAACAAGCTAAACTGCAGCTTGGGACAACCACATCCCATAGAGGAGCACCAGTTTGAATCCTGATTGTTCTGCTTCCAATCCAACTTCCTGCTAATGCACCTAAGGAGGCAGCAAGATGGTGGCCCAAATGCTTAAGCTCCTACCGTTCATGTGGAAGACCTGGATGGAGTTCCAGGTTCCAGGCTTCTGTCAGCCCCAAACTGGCTATTGCAGTCATTTGCTGAGTGAACCAGAAGATGCCAACATCTTTTTTTTTCTCTCCCTTCTTTTCTATTTTCCACCTATCCTCCTCCTTTCCTCCCTCCCTCTCTGACATGCTACCTTTCTTTAAAATGGAAAATTATTATATACCATCAAATATAAAACTCACTTATAATTCAGAGTAAGGGGAGGTGATATTATTAATATTACTGATAGTATACATGCTGGAATGCTTAAGAGCTCAAGTGGTACTAAACCACTAGAAATACCAGTTCCTCACAGTCTATGCTGTTGGTTTAAAAAAAAAAACAGTATTCTAGTCACAAAAAGGAGCTAGTGCCTTCTTCTTCCCTCTCACCAGCATGTCAAAAAGAATTAACAAATTGAATGAAACAGTCTGACCTGTACTTGAGAGACACTACAATATTTAAGTGAGTACACTTTAGAAGCACTTTTTGTCAACTCATTTTTTTCAATGAATCTATGCAGCAGTTTTTATATTCTGCTCTTATTTCAGTGAGATCAGATATAAACCAATCCCAACGATGTCAGCCTTAATCCATGCACATGTTTTCTCTTGTCTTTATGAGTAGTTTTTTCTCATTCATTTCACCTGAGTTGAAAGTAATGTCAATCGCCTCTCGGCCTTTTGGCTAAGATCAGTGTAGTAAAAGTAATATCAACCCACACCTGCAGCACAGGCTTCCTTTACAGTCTTCATAAAGCTGGGCTACAGTTACAGCAGTGGAACTTGAACATTTCCACACAGACCATACCTGTGGATCTGACCATTTCTGTGTAGATAGTCTAGACCTTCCAAAACCTCTTTGAGAATTGTTGCTATGATCGCCTCTTCCAGAACGCCGTTCTTATGTTCTCCTCGATTGACAATGTATTTTATGATATCCAACATGGAGCCTAAGGGGACAAACAGACCAGCTGAGGAAGTGATTTGATAAGCCCCTTCAGTAGTCTTTCAGAGCAGGGCTCCTGCTACTATTAGGAACATTAAATAAAATTCTCAAAATACAGTTTTTAACTTTTTATTTAAATACAAATATTCCAGAGGCATACTAACAATTAAATGGCAGCCCCCCCTGCCAATAAACAGAAATGCTAAATGTGCATTTGCTAGAGCACTTCCCGGCGCCAACTTTTAGCAAGAAGGACTCTCAGTAAGGAGCCAGAAAATTGATTGGTCAGGGCTGTTTTCTGTATATGCAAGGAGGTACACACTTCAAAGAGGGCTCAGGATGGGAGAACTGAAAAAGAAAGGAATGGACAGACCAGACCTGGAGAACAGAGAGCAGTGAATTAATAAGAGGAAGCCCCAGTGTGTTCCCAGTACCTAAGACCCAGGTGGGGAGGGCAGGCAGGGAACAGGAGTCTACTGCCTTCAGAATTTCGCTAGAAACAAACTCCTTCCTGTGACTCCTTCCTGTGACTTGGTCAGTTTTCAGGATCATTCACCTGAAACTGGATGAACTGACTTTCTGAAACAAGCGGGTAAGTAGCTGGTACTTCCTTACCATATATAGATTAGTATCCTTGGCACTGAGAATTCAAGTTTCAACACACATTCATTAATATTCCAAACCTCTGGGTCACTTTGGAAAGCCAAATTACCTGGGGGTTCCACATTGCTGAAGAGTTAACAAATGATTTACCTCAAGACCTGAAACTGGCTCTAGGCTCTCAATGATTAGCTAAGAGGATTCAGTTTCCACATCAGATATGACTGCATGAGACTCCCCATCATTAAGAGAGTTGATGTAATAAAATATTACAAAGGAGAAAAAACACTTCTACATATTCACTGACTCTTGGATATTTCGGTCATATAGAAAGATGGTAATTCAAGGACTCTGTGTTCATCCTACAAGGATACAGCTTATAGGGCATGCGCGCATATCTGGGCTGCTGGAAGACAAGCAAGCACCATCTGCCCACATCCCCCTTACGTGTGCAAACCTGTTTAGCCTATTACTCTTACCAAAGCCCAGGGAGCTTAACTTAGACTCTTGTAAAAAGACCATGAGCTTCATCCCAGGTGCTCAGAAAAGAGGACAGGGGGTGAGCTCAAGTTTCTAGAAGCTGAAGGTAAATGAGGGGTTATTTTCAGCCCAAACAGAGGATCTGAGACTCTGCTACACTGGTGCAAGCCCTTGAGAAGAGAATGGATGAAGATGATCTTGTGAGCAGAGCAGGGCCCTCCAGGGAACACAGGGCAGTATCAGTGCTCATCTCTGCAGCCAGCTCCAGCAGCTTTGCTCTGGCTTTTCCACTTAATTAAAAACCTGTGAAAGCACTCAGAGACACAAAAACTAATAGGACTGACGAAGGCTGGGAACAGAACTAAGTTCTGCCCTAAAACCCTGCTGAAGCTGACACCAGACAAAATCAAGCCAATGGCAATGCCTCCATCTTCTCATTGTGTGGCTCCTATTGATCCAGGAGAGTTTAAGAAAGAAAGAAAATAATAGTAAGATGCCTTCTTGATTCAGCCTTAGCTAGAACTGGGTCCAGCGATCAGAATGGGTTAAATAATATAAAGTCCACTAGGTTAGCTTTAGTTTTGTCCTTTCTCTACCCATAAATTCTGCTAGCTCTCAGATATAGACACAGGGAGTGACGTGAGAGAGAGCGAGAGTGAGAGCAAGAAGTGCTAAGCAAGCCATTAGGACTTTCTAAGTTTCAACATTCGTGTCTGTGAAACAAAGGTAATAATGCCAGCAGCTTAGCAAAACTGGGGGGACAATAGATCCTACAGTCTCAAATGCCAGCATCAATAGTCCCTATATGTGGGTGACTTTTGGAAAACTGCTTAATTCCTTTGGAGATTTTGGCTTATTTTCTGAAAAATAAGAATGGTGGATTGGCCTATTCAGGGATGCTGACAAGATTATATGAGATGGTGTAAGTAGTTGCCATTAACAGGATCCAGCAACAAAGTAAATACTCAGTAAAGTTAATGGTTACCATTCTCAGTTTCATTCTGATGTTGATGTTAACACATGATGAAAAAATAAAATATGTACAAGCGCTTTGTAAAATAAATTATCAATGGCTTGCATAACATTGGGAAACCTGAGATTAGTGAGAAGCGAAACTTCCCTTCCCAAATGCAACAACAAGGGTTGGGAATTGTGTGTGATACCCACATCCCATATCCCGTATCCCATATCAGCATGCCAGTTTGTATTCCAGCCTCTGTGCTTCCAATCTAACTTTTTGCCAATGCATTCTGGGAGTTAGCAAATAATGGCTCAGGTACTTGGGGCAGTGCCACCATGTCAATGACCCAATGGAGTTCCAAGCTCCTGGCTTCAGCCTGGCCCAGTTCTGCCCAATATCACCATTTGGGAAATGAATCAGCATATGGAAGAAACATTCTTTATCTCTCTCATCTCACTTCTACAATTTTTAAATGCATTAGAAACACAACAAGATGAAAACAGTAATACTTTTGATTCAAGTTCAAGCAAGTAATTGAGCATGTCTTTCCCTCCACGTCAATTGCACCAGCATTTACTGAGTAGTGACTGAATGCCAGGTTCAATTAAGTTGAAGTACATTAGACAGTTCTTTGGCTGTAAAATCCACAGCTTCAATCTCTACCATCCATATCACCATCTCTAACTACATGAGGAGAGTTAAAAGCCAATTTAAACAGAAGCATAACTCCTTCCCTCAGTGGCATCAGCCTCATCTCCAGAGTTCAAGAGTCACATGCCACCAGTACAAACTGGATACTGCAGCTACTGAACATCTATCTGTATCAGACACCAAAACCTCTAAGAAGCAGCACTGCAGTAATAGTGCAGTGTGGCAGCATATTCAAGGCTTGAGGCTGGTTAAGAGAAGACACCAGTGACAGAGTGCACAAGACCTCTCGGGCTTTGAGCCATGGAAAAGAAAGGTAGGACATCTAAGGCTGAGGACAGAGCACAGTTCAAACTGGGGGACATTAGATGCTCAGCTGGCATCAACTGCACCCTGAAGCGTGGGCTGCTGCCTGCATGAAGAAGGGAACATGGATATCCTAGGAAATTATGCCAAATGATGAGGTTCATTAACCCAAATTAAGCTTAATGAGTCTCAATACTAGGAAACATGGCCTTTGCTCCTTGGACAGCGACAAGTCTTGCAAACAAGTCTCACAACCTCAGGAGTGTAGGGATCCAATCTTGAGTCACACAATTTGCAGGTACCAACACATAGGATAGAAAGGGAGGGATAGGTGGGAAGACATGAAGTAAACATTAATAACAAAACCCACTTACCTCCGCTCAGTAATTTCATGACCAGCCAAAGTTCATCTTTAACCACAAAAGAGGTGTAATAGGTCACTACGTTGGGATGGCTGCACTGACTCATGGCTTGAATCTCTTTCTACAAGAAAAGCAAAACATGACATAGTACTTGAGGAGTGAAAATCAGGGCACCAAAAGCAAGCAAGACCCAATGGAATACCTGCTGTCTTTCCTACTCAAAAGTACACCTACTGAGCTGTCTTGCTCAAATTTGTTTCAGTTGGTTCCTCTGCAGGAGGCCCACCACCACAGGGCAGAGGAATTTGAGGTTAGTCTGTGCCCCACAGACTTCACCCCACTCTGCATAGGACTGAGTGCCTGCCACCTGACCAGCCCTCCACAGGGGGCCCAAAAACTCAGTGAGTCAGGAGGAGACTGGGGTCCACATGCCAGTCTCACCACTTGTGGGACTTAGCTCCTCCCTCACCCAACAGGGCACACGAAACCTCTCTGGTTCTCAGGACTGCTCTGACAACGTATGAGAGAAGACATAAGGAGATGCTAAAGAACATCACTTGCCAAACTCTTCTCTGGCAGATCCTCCAACAAAGGGAGCAAGGGGGCAGGGCAGGTGATTGGTACAGCAGTCAAGACACCACTTGGGACACCTATAAGCTACAGTGGAGTGCCTGGCTTCAAGTTCCAGCTCTGGTCCTGATTCCAGAATCCTGCTGATGTGCACCCTGGGAAGCAACATGTGACCTGTACATTATGTACTTGGGTCTTTGCACTTACAGGAGCCTAATATTGAGTTTCTGGCTCTCAGTTTCAATGTGGTACAGCCCTGTTTGTTGTACACATTTGGGAAGTGAAGCAGCAGACAACACATCTTCATGGGTTCAATCTTTCTTTTGTCTCCATCCCCCTTCCCTTTAAATAAGTAAAATATTTTTTCAACAGACATATAGTGGGATAGGAAAGTAAAATAACCTTGGCAAACATGAGATACTGAATCTCACTGGAAAGGAATCAGTAGGACTTTTAAAGCTCTTAAAGCCATGAGAAGCCATGCAATAAATAACTGAATACATACTAACAACAAATAATTTGTGGTTATTTTGGAAATATTTATATAAAGGAAAAAGTTTTAAATAAACACATGAAGCAACAAAACTTTAAGCGACTTCTCTTTTCAATACTTTAGATCAAATGGTTTTGGTCTGTTGGTTTAAGGCACTGTCAGATTCCCACAATGCTTCATTCCAGCAGTAACTCCCAAAGGAACCAGACCAGCATAAACTCATCTCAAGATGCTGTTGAAAAATCACCAGAATAACCTAGGTCACTGAAGAAAAATCACTCATGCTACTGGGTGTTTATGATGAAAGAAAAGAGTATGAATGCATCCCATAAATATTGTCAAGAATTGTGAGCTTCCAGTTAACTTTAAATTAATTCAAAGTTATCAAGCCATAACATTCCACTTGGGCTGCTATCTTAGCATACTCAGTCCTACCTAGTTCTCAAATTACCTGGAAGATTCTGTATCAGATAACCTGGCTAACATATGTTTTATTAAAGCACTTTTTACTAAAGATAAGCTCTGAGGAAATTTAATACTACTTCTGCTTTTATTAAACATCATTCCTTTTCCATCCCCTTCATCTACTTACAGATTTTTTTTAGATCTGATACTTTCTGATTCAACAACTCTTGTCCTTCAAATAAGATCTGAATTTAGGATTCAGTCTCCATGTGTTTCTCAAGTTATATTCTGACACCATGAGAAACAGACGATGGCCCAAGACCTTCCTGTGTCACGTAAGCAGCACCCTGACCAATACGAGGTCTGCAGAAGCAGGCAAGGTCTAGTCTACACAGATGCCCCCACTGTTCACAGAACAGAACAATGCCTCCTGAACACAGGTGTGTTCAGAATTACCTCCATTTTCTAAGCGTGGATGAATGCCTCCTAACTCTAAATTTTTAAGTAATTAGTCAAAACACCTAACTTTTTTTTTAAAAAAAGTGCTTACAGGGCAAAGAAATTCCTTTACATGGAAGCAGAGCCAGGCGGGGTATGCTCAAAGAAAACATTTATTCAGACTCTAGCACTTAGATAGCTGGTATCGCAGCTTAAACATTTATTTGAAAAAAACAAACATCTAAATACCCAAGGTTAACATTCAATTAAAAAATTTTAAAATCACTCTAACTTCTTTACCCAAAAGCAAAATCCAGAAAATTACCCCAAGATATAATTAAAAATCAATAATCACAAAAGCCCAGTTTTGTAAATCTTGGACAATATATTTTCAACAAAGATATGAAATACGAAATGGGTAGTCATAGGGTAAACTGTGTGTGTGTGCGTATGTGTGTGTATGTGCATCTGCACACAACTGTTCTGAATAAAGTATAACTTACCATGGTCTAACAAAAAGAAGCAGCCATGCTCCTACCAACACAGCCACAACAGCAGCACAGAAACAAAGAAGGGCTGGGGGGCCTGCATGAGGATCTGCATGGTCCTGCCGGATCTCACATTCTTCTTCCCAGCTCCTCTGAATCCCTTGGTGTGGGGAAGGGAGTATCCCCCAGTCCTGCACCAACCTTTTACTGAACAATCTTGCTCTAATACTGTATTGCTTAAGGACATGACAAAACCCACTGCATGTGTAGAGAAAAACACACTGTGGAGAAAATCCCAAATATGCTGGGATACTAATAATGCCATTACAAAACCTTCGTAATACTTAGTATTTCTTTATTTTTTAAAAAAATAGAAATAGGGAGGACCTGGCTCAGTAACCTAGTTGCTAAAATCTTTGCCTTGCACGCACCAGAATACCATATGGGTGCTGGTTCATGTCCTGGTTGCTCCACTTCCCTTCCAGCTCCCTACTTGCCTGGGAACGCAGTCGGGGACAGTCCAAGGCCTTGAGATCCTAAATCTATGTGGGAGACCTGGAAGAAGCTCCTGGCTCCTGGCTTTGGATTGGCTCAGCTCCAGCTATTGCAGCCTCTTGGGGAGTGAATCAGTGGACAAAAGATCTTCCTTTGTCTCTCCTCCTCTCTGTATATCTGAGTTTCCAATAAAAATAAATACATCTTAAAAAAACCAACCAAACAAAAAATAAATAAGTAGGAACTGGCACTGTGGCACAGAAGGTGAAGCTGTCACCTGAAAACACCAGCATCCCAGAAAGGCACTAACTCACAACTCAGCTATTGTACTTCCTACCCATCCTCTAACATGTCAATACTACTTGGATGAAAAATTCTTCCTACAAAACTATGCCCCCTGGCCTGGTTTCTTTTCAAAACAGTGATGATGGGTTGCTACTTGAATCATTTCTTGGCAACAATCTCCCAATTACATTACACAAGCTTTTCCTAATGCACTAACTTCATTCACATGGTTAGGCAAAGATGATCATCCCTACATATAACCTTTTTGCTCCTATCCTTGAAGATTAGCTACAGTATTACCCCAAGAGTGAGAAAATTGACATGATGAACATATTTACTAAAAAAATTCTTATGGAATGAATGGGATCCAGGACTCTGTTACCTTAACTGGGTCACACAGTCCATGAGAGAAGCCTAATCTGGCAGAACTCTCCATGCTGGGAAGTGCTGGGGGAGCTCCCTGGGGGATAGCCTGAACATCTGCTCCCGTGCCAGGCTCCCAGGGGAGGTGAGGCTATGTAGCCAGGGCTCAGCCTTGGGAGTGGCAAAGCACCTGACTGAGCTCTGCAGGGAGGCACCAGGGAGGAGTGCATCTGAGAGGAAGGGGCATGGACACTGCATTGAAGGCCTCTGTCAGAGAGAACACAGGACAGGTTCTCGGCAAGGCCTGGGGTCTGACACAAGAGGGAGGGAAGAAAGCAAAGCTGGAAGTAAGGAAGATAGGGTACTAAAGTGCTCTGAATTTCAGACCAGGCAGAGTGTTCACCAGGGCAGGAAACACAAGGTCTGCACTGGAAGAAATCACACAACTCAGAAATCCAGACAAGGCTCCTTTGGAAGTCCAATGCAGTAACAGCCAAGTGCATCTTCTAAGTGAAAACCAAACCACAGCGCAGCACTGAATCATCTGCACCCATCTGAAAATCACTGTAAGTGAAAATCACTAGGAGTGAAAGCCAACCTTCAAGGGGGCAGCTAAAATGCCCAGATCCAACTGTTAAAACAGAGGCTCTGCTGACAGCCACGTCAGGGAGTCCAAAGGAGGACACCCATATTGCTGTCTCTACCTCTGCCAAACTTGCCATGTCAGGGCTGTCATAGACTTCTCATGTGGAAACAGGAAAAATTGCTGCGAAAAATAAAAACAAGTATTGTATGCCAGAAACAGGAAGAACTGGGATGGAAAAAGAGAGAGAGAGAGAGAAAAACCTTAAAAAAGTGAAAAAAGTAACTAAAGTTTGAATAGTTATGGCATTTGCTTACATTGTTGCATGGGCTTTGTTTTCCCAAGCAAATAATTTCTCCTCTACAATACATTGAGGGCAAGCAGGGAGGATAATTAACAAGGAACTGGTCCTCCGGGGCTGCACTCTGTCACAGCTGGCTTTGAAGTTTGGTCTTACCATTTACTAGCTTCATTACCCAGGCAGACTCTGCAGCATGTGTGCTGTGTTTTGTTTTTGTTTTCACAAAGAGAAAAAGATAATCCAAAAAAGAGATTTGCCATTCACTGGTTCCCCCCGCCAATACCAGCAACACTACCAATGCCTTCAACAGTCAGGGATGTACAGTGACAAGCTAAAGCCAGTAGCCAGGAACTCAATCAATGTCTCCCAAATGTGGAATTAAGAGTGTAACTAGCTGAGCTGTCACCATTTCCTCCCATGGTGTGTACTAGCAGAAAACTGGGGACAGAATATGGACTCAGTGTTCAACCCAGGTACTCTCATGTGCACCAGATATGGGTATCCCTGTTGGGTTGAATGCCCATTTTTATCCAGTGTCTTTGAGCCTCTGGTCACCACTCTGTTAGTACTAACATTCACATAAGATCCTTGTTAAATGAGGAAAACAAGAGCTACAGAATTCCCTGCAGAAAGCCTAGGCTGAAGGGTGATTTTCTCGGCTCACTGCAGTCCCTGTCCCTTCCTTGCACGTCACCAATCT